CAACATTAGTCTCCATTCTCCTACTCTCCAACATTGTTTCAAAACGAGGCTATTATCGTTCGAAACCTTTAAGCGGAAATCATATTTTCTCCTAATGAAAATAAACTCCATTCTCACGACAAAAGTTTTGCTAATTTAGCATCATTCTGAGGGTAAGGTGTTTTGGAACTCAGAAACTGTCCATTACATTGTGTACCTCAGTTGGTCTGTATATGTACCCTGCCATAGGAACTAAATCAGCAGGGTCTCGGATGTGATCCGATTTGCTGAGCTCACATTGATGTCCACCAGCCTGTTTGGGTCCTATGTTATAGGAGAGACACATGAGGTCGCGGAAACAAGCAATCTCACAATGGTCATTTGTCTCCACTGGTATCGTTTTGATCACGTGACCAGTAAGGGCTTTATCAGCAATGCGTTGTAAGAAATGCACTTGTCGGCAGACATCTGTAAATAAAACAAGTAGTAACATGAGCTTTTTTTTCAGATATGGTTTGAGAGGGTTTTCAATAATATTTTCCACAGGCTTCTGCCGATGGTGTGCCCGGAGAGGGCCATAAGGCGAAACTCAAATATGAATGCCTGGTTATAGGTTAAACAGACTGTGGTAAGTCTTAGCAATAGAACATCGGTAGCGGCTTTTTATAAACCATTGCGTCTGAAATTATTAGTTTATAAGGTAAGAGTTATTTGTTATATCAATTTGAGCAAGCAAACGTCGTCGTCTACCACTGTATATGAAACTCAGGTCACTGAGCTAAGCTTAGTTTTTCCCGCCATCTTTGCGACAACTTTTCAAATCATTTGTTCAAAGTTGAACAACAGTTTATTAAGTTTATCAAATGCATGAAAGGGAGAAGATGCAAGCGCGTTTTTCTAAAAAACAACAACTTTGGGGGAACTCTCAGCACTGAAAGAAACACATTTACGTTAGCGCTTTTCTCGCAACTTTTCCACCATAATGCAACAAATTCATCATTGAAATACATTTTTTTCCATTCACAGCGTTCCCTTTTGATGAGTGTCAGCTGCAACATTCAAAAACCACCGTCCATTTTATTCCTCCCTTGTTGTATCGATCCGAAATAACTCCTCATTTTGAGTTGAATATCCTCACTGCACATCGAGGGAAACATCTACATATGCATGTTTTTAACCGCAAAGTATCATACTTAATTCCATGACCCGCGACCAAGAGGTGTTTCGAGAGACACCTAATTAGCATGAAATCACTTTTATGCAGCAGAACTGAGCGGTAAAGAGTAATGATAAAGTTTGTCGAATATTTCCAAAGGAAATTAATTGTCTCAGTTGCTGCTAAAGGTGTACAAGTTTTGATAATCATAATATCTATGTCCATTTTAGATCTCGAGATTAAAAATTTTTAATCTATAACTATTTCCACCTTCATATTACCACTTACCCCTCCAAAGTCCTGCGAAGTTTGAGTTTAGTTGGGAATAGAAAAAGTTGCAAATTTCCCTTAGTTTTTGTTATGCATCATCGTATTAGGAAGCAATTACAGCGAGTATAGACTTAGTTACTGCGTTTAGTATTGTTAGTACTAAGTGTTAGCCATAACATTTTAACATGGAAAGTCATGACGGGAAAATTAACGGTTCAGGCTCATAGTGCGAGCTGTACACCTGTTCCGGTGTCTTGGTCGTAAACACAACTAAGAATTCGACTTCATTTACCATGAATTAGTAATGAAAAGTAAATTATCGGTCCTCGATACGTAAAGTACTCTATCTTCAAAAATTTTACCAAGTCCCTGCTAAGTGTTGCGAGATTAGTGGAACAAAACAATGGAAAATCCTCCTATCAGCTGAAGTATTTACAAGTGATAAAATGTTGTCGATAGTCTTCCGAAATATTTTTAGGCTTGTTTCATTTTCAGTGCTTGAATCTTCGTGGTGTGTTTGACTAAACTCTCGTCGTGAGAACAACTTTCCGTCTCTACCATCACTCAAGACTGCTACCCTCGAGATGGATAACTGAAACGTAAGCAGAACTGCGAGCGAGAAAATGATGCTTCGAGGGGAAAGAACTTTCCTAGGCTTCAACCTTGGTGACAAGGTAAAATATGAACGTATTTTTTTTCCTTTTTCATATTATGCTCTCTAACTTTAATTGATTAATTTGAGAGACTTACCGCTACCTCCGACAATCACGAAATGAACTGCGAACATAATGTGATGTAATAAAGCGAAGGCGAGAGACATGTTGAAATAGTACTTTGCTGTCAAGTTTCTAATTTAGACTGAAAGAAGAGTTGGGAAAACCTGACAGCTAAACGATCCAATGCGAGGCCAGTTTAACACTCCAAAGCGAGGCAACCTTATGTCTTGTTATGACGTTACTGTGGAAACCATCGCCATAGCTAATTACCAGACAAATACAAAGATGGAAGATGTGTAAATTAATAAACTCGTAAAGGTGATTCAACTGAAAAGAAATAATTAATACAAATATCTAAGTACAAATATGATAACGTCAAGAATGACGACAAGAGTAAAAACAAAGCTACATGAACTAGAAATGAACTTACAATTTGTGGCATAACCAGGTCCGATAGGAAAAACTCTCAAACAAAAGTACCACGGCGCTAGCAAAAACCAACGAAACGACTGCCCTAATTGAGGTCAACCAGCGAATGAAAAATCTGGAAAAAACAACGCTTATACTGGCTACCGGTGTTACGTAAACCTTACATAACCTCACGCAAAAACGCAAACTTGAGGAATAGAAAGGAAAACAATCTATAGTATGGCTCCGAGGGAAACAGTTTTGTTTTCCTGAGAGTCGTGATGTTTCCCGACAGCAGGACCCAAAGGAACACAAAACTAACACCTTAGGTGCTTTGTTATATGTTTAGACTTTCCCTGAAACAGTCATATGGCAAAAACAAACAAACAAAGACGGCACAACTTCTTTATTTACAATCTTCAACCCTGCTGAATGAATAAGTCTTAACTTAATTACAAAATCAAGCTGACGTCCATCTCGAGCCATGGGTCATTTTGGCTCCTTGTCAGCGGTTTGGTCGCCAAACAATCGTAAGTACGTCATGTATGGACATTATTGTACGTATGTAACGTATAGTACAAGAATTTCGTCGCCAATAATACGTTGATCTTCCAGGGATACACAAGAAACGAAATGGGTGGAACGATGGGTAACTTTCTATCATCATTAACATTAATAGCTCGTATACAAATAGAAGTCATTTACCAAAAAATTTACCAAAAGTATCGTTCGCACGAACATATACATATATCTTTGCCACTTTCGTGTTTTTTTTCAAGAGTATATTCTTTGATTTCAGTGTTATGGGAATATTTTTCGATTAAAACTTAACAATCTCTGAAAGCAAGGCTTGGAAATCAGACGTAAACCTGCACGTATCATGTTTTTTTTTTTAGAGTGATAATCAGAAGAAGACTATAAATGGACGAAAAACGTGTGGTCTGAGAGTTTTTAACACTGACACGTTCTAAATCTTATCATTATTTTACGTTTGAAAGCTACCACAAATGAATATTTCGAAAGTAGCAGATAACAGCATTCGGCTATAATCGGCCAACTGACCGACAGACTGACTGACTCGTCAACAACCAACCGACCGACCTCTTGACTGAGTGAATGGTTGACTGTCTAACTGACTGACTCACTTACTGAAGGTACATCACCATATTGTACGCCACAAAATCTCTTTCAGCCATCATTTATCTCAGTCCAACACTCATCAGTCTGCTGCTTCGCGGCTGATGTCCATTGACGTTAAAGGCGACTCCGGCATACTTTGGATTAGTGGACGCTGACCGGAAGTAAGGAGTGTGTTTATCACCACACCAATGACTACACCCTTTATAACAGTTTGTATAACCAGATATGAAAAAGCCAGAGTAGAAGCTGTGGTTGCAGATAAGAAGCTGGTATTCATGACTTGTGGTAGCTACACCTCCACCTAGCCACAGGCCGGAGATTTGTGTCTGGTAATTTCCCTTTGCGACGAGACTGGAATTAAGTTTATAGGTAAAGAAAGCCTTTTCATTCGTGGTCTTATCCACAAAGAGAATTTCCCGAAACTGCAAGCAAAAAAAAACAGTGAAAAAGACTGTCGTGTTGAATAACATGACTAGGTTAAGAGAACAAGAACAAGTAGATTAAGAATCTTCAGACTAAAACTTGATGAAAAAAGCACCATTCCGGTGATAAGAAATAGTTCAGCATTCCAAAAAAGAACAGGTTCTTATTTTGAAAATGTGGTCATCAAATTTAGGAAACAGTGACACATGTTCAAATTATGAGTGGTAGACCAAATGAAGCACAGTACAGAAGGTACTGAAATTCTTGTAGTAAATTTTGCATTCCAGCGGGGATCACTGTCAGTCCTCATCTACAGTATGGTACAGAGTTGGTTAAAAACATAAATATTGAATATAAAAGATAAAACTCCCAGTGAAAATATAAAATATTTCCAGAAAAAAAAATAACGATTAAGAACCTCGTAAGCATAACATGAGGGCAAGAGAGTGATTATAAGCTATTTATCTGGCTGATTACTCATTATGGCGCCTGAAATATGACAAACACATAAGCCGGGATTTACCAAACATCATTATTCCTCAAAATTAACTCTTGCACCTCAACCTCTCTTAATCACCTGAACTTCATTGCAGTCAGTTCGGTAACCATTTGTACCATAAGGATAATTCTCGTCATAGGTCATTTCTGTTTTAGGGTCAGCAAGATCGTCAGTAGAGTAACACATCGTCCATCCTCCTCCAAATGACGTCATATCACAATACGCCCAGAATTTGTTTTGCTCGATGTTCGGTTGTATTTCGTACATCCCATCAGGAGCACTCGGAAATGTGGTCTTGATCTCCTTGCAATTAATTCCTTTTAAAGAGACAAAAAAAAAACAAAAAAAAAGATACCAGGCCTCGTTATTGGCGATATATGTCACGGGTTTTTTTTATTGTCATTGAAATCTATGCAATCACGGGCAATTCACCAGCTATTTACAAAGAATTAAAAGCTGTTAACTTTTAATTGTACTAATTACACTATATCACCGAGCCTTAGGGAGGTTTATTGATTTCTCATTTGAACGACCCGAGGGATTCCGCGCACCCAGCCTCACAAGGAAGGCTATTCCACAACGTGGGGCCACTATAACTAAAAATATTTTAAAATTAATTTGTGGTGGTAAGTTTTTTCTCGGGTCCCTCAGGTTATAGCTTGTATTGCGTTAAAAATGAAGTCCCGTACAGACCTCCCGCCGGCTCGCGTTGCTTAATGCATCATACTTTCTCGCGGACGTTTCCCATTAGCTTACCTGTCATAAGCTGGCAGACTCCTACGCCATCGAACACACCGCTGACACAATTGCATACATATGAGCCCGCGGTGTTATTGCAGTCCTCATTCACCGGGCAGTTGAAATGGTTGGTTTGACACTCGTCTATGTCTGCAGAAAAGAGCGACTTTCATATGAGTGACAGGGAAAATCAGCTCGGGGAGGTCAGTTAGGTCAACCATCGAAAGTGATCCTGAGTTGCTTTGAATTTTCTTTACCTCGTTGATTGGTCATGAATTCTCGCTCTATCCTCTCAATTAGCTCATACAATCAATGCAAAACTAAAAACAATCGCGTCTTAATTCATGAGGTGACACTAAATTGCTTGGTTTGCTTAACATACCCGTTTCACAGCTGTTCCCGGTAAATCCTGGTGGACACAGACACTGGAAAGTTGTCTCCGTGAGGGAAACACATGTGGCGTTATCAGGGCAAGGACTTGACGAACAACGACTCTAACCCAGAAATAAATGAAATATCTGTCATGTTATTCTGGCAGAGAAATCATGAGCAGTCGCCAAAACTTGAAAATGAAGTGGGCGAAACTTTGGAGATTCAAATAACGGCGTAATTCCGGGCAAAAATAAGAGTTAACTGAGTGTGCCCGATACAAAGAAATAACAGTATGTCGCACTTAATCCCAAAAGACCAAAAAGATATATTGTTTGTTAAATACATCAGCAAAGATTTCGAAAACTTATCGATGACACCTGCTAACTGACTAGTAAAACCCTATGCAATTTCTTTTTTAAGTCAGCCACACGGCATACTTATTTTATATAAATTAAAACTGATGAGACTTCATTTTCAAAATTAAACTTGTAAAGTTAGATTTTCAGTCAACATTAGTCTCCATTCTCCCCCACTCCAACATTGTTTTGAAACGAGGCTATTATCGTTCGAAACCTTAAAGCGGAAATCATATTTTCTCCCAATGTAAATAAACTTCATTCTCACGACAAAAGCTTTGCTAATTTAGCATCATTCTGAGGGTAAGGTGTTTTGGAACTCAGAAATGGCCCATTACATTATATACCTCAGTTGGTCTGTACATGTACCCTGCCATAGGAACTAAATCAGCAGGGTCTCGGATGTGATCCGATTTGCTAAGCTCACATTGATGTCCATGAGCCTGTTTGGGTCCTATGTTGTAGGAGAGACACATGAGGTCGCGGTAACAAGCAATCTCACAATGGTCATCTGTCTTCACTGGTATCGTTTTGATCACGTGACCAATAAGGGCTTTATCAACAATGCCTTGCAAGAAATGCACGTGTCGGCAGACATCTGTAAAAACAAGGAGTAACATGAGAATTTTTTTTAGATATGGTTTGCAGGGTTTTCAATAACATTTTCCACAGGCGCCTGCCGATGGTGTGCCCGGAGAGGGCCGTAAGGCGAAACTCAAATATGAATGCCTGGTTTTAGGTTATACAGACTGCGGTAAGGGTTCGTAATGGCGGCAGTAGAACATCGGTGGCGGCTTTTTATAAACCATTGCGTCTGAAATTATTAGTTTATCAGATAAGAGTTAAGGGTTATATCCATATGAGCGAGGAAACGTTGTCGTTTACCACTGTATATTAAACTCAAGTCACTGAGCTAAGCTTAATTTTTCCCACCATCTTTGCGACAACTTTTCAAAATCATTTGTTCAAAGTTGAACAACTCTTTATTAAGAATGAATTACTTATAAAATCAAATGCATGAAAGGGAGAAGATGTAAGCGCGTTTTTCTAAAAACAATAACTTTGGGGGAACTCTCAGGACTGAACGAAACACATTTACGTTAGCGCTTTTCTTTTCCACCATAATGCAATAAAGTCATCTTTAAAATACATTTTTTTCCATTCACAGCGTTCCCTTTTGATGACTGTCATCTGCAACATTCAAAAACCACCGTCCATTTCCTTCCTTCCGTGTTGTATCGATCCAAAACAATTCCTCATTTTGAGTTAAATATCCTCACTGTACATCGAGGAAACATCTACATATGCATGTTTTTAACCGCAAAGTATCATATTTAATTCCATAACCTCCGACCAAGAGGTGTTTCGAGAGACACCTTATTTGCATGAAATCACTTTTAGCAGCAGAACCAAGCGGTAAGGGGTAATGGTAAAGTTTGTCGAATATTTCCGATGGAAATTAATTGTCTCAGTTGCCGCTAAAGTTGTACAAGTTTTGACAATCATGATATCTATATCCGTTTCAGATCTCGAAATTAAAAGTGTTCATTCTATAACTATTTCCACCTTCATTTTACCACTTACCCCTCCGAAGTCTTGCGAGGTCTGAGTTTAGTTAGGAATCGAAAAAGATGCAAATTGCCATTGGCTTTTATTATGCATTATTGTATCAGGAAGCAAACACAGTGAGTATAGACTTAGTTATTTCGTTTATTATTGTTAGTACTAAGTGTTAGCCATAACATTTTAACATGGAAAGTAATTACAGGAAAATTAATAGTTCAGGCTCATAGTACGAGCTGTACCTATTCCGGTGTCTTGGTCGTAAACACAGCTAATAATTCGACAGCATTTACCATGAATTAGTAATGAAAAGTAAATTATCAGTCCTCGATATATAAAGTATCCTTATCTTCAAACATGTTTCCAAGTCCCTGCTAAATGTTGCAAGATTAGTGGAATAAAACAACGGAAAATCCCTCTATCAGCTGAAGTATTTACAAGTGATAAAATGTTGTCGATAGTCTTCCGAAATATTTTTACGCATGCTTTATTTTCAGCGCTTAAATCTTCGTGCAAATTATAGTTAGCAGGAGATCGATCTGAAACACCTGATGTGTCTGACTAAACCTTCATCGAGAGAACAACTTTCCGTCTCTACCATAACTCAAGACTGCTTATCGCTACCCTCGAGATGGATAACTAAAACGTAAGCAGAACTGCGAACGAGAAAATGATACTTTGAGGGGAAAGAACTTTCTTAGGTTTCAACCTTGGAGACAAGGTAAAGTATGAACGTTTCCTTTTTTCCTTTTTCATATTATGCTCTCTAACTTTAATTGATTAATTTGAGAGACTTACCGACACCTCCGACAACCACGAAATGAACTGCGAAAATAATGTGATGTAATAAAGCGAAGGCGAGAGACATGTTGTTGATATGGTACTTTGCTGTCAAGTTTCCAGTTTAGATTTAAAGAAGAGTTGGGAAAACCCGATAGCTTAACGATCCAATGCGAGGCCAGCTTAACACCCCAAAGCGAGGCAACCATATGTCTTGTTAAGACGTTACTATGGAAACCGTCGCTACTGCTAAATACTACAGGTTTACGCCAAACTTGAATGCGCGTTTAATAACTCCCAGATAGACAAATGTAAAGATGGAAGATGTGCAAATGTATAAACGTGTAAACGTGATTCGACTGAAAATTAATAATCAATACAAATATCAAAGTACAAATATGATAACGTCAAGAATAACGACAAGAGTAAAAACAAAGCTACATGAAAAATAAATGAACTTAGAATTTGTGGCATAACCAAGTCCGATAGGAAAAACTCTCCGAAAAAAGTACCACGGCGCTAGCAAAAACCAACGGAACGACCGCCCTAGTTGAGGTCAACTAGCGAATGAAAAATTTAGCAAAAACAACGCTTATACAGGCTACCAACGTTACAAAAAGCTTACGAACATTATTGAAAGAAAAAAAGGTAACCATGTTGTCTCCACTGGACAAATATGATGATAGGTAAACAAAGAGCTGTTTCACGGATCGTTTGACGGTTGACCGGGGGAACCACAACCACAGTGATTTACATGAACCAGAATGATTCTAGAAGTAATTACAATTTGCCATGCACTGATGTCGCCAATAATACTTTGATCTTCGAATGATACACAAGAAAAGAAATAATATACAGAGGCGAGCTTCATTAAAAGAAAAAAACGTTAAAGAAGCTTAAAGAAATTTACGCTCCCAACACGAAGCTATACAGATGAATTGGTATTACTAACATCTGAAAGGCACTAGTGCGAATTCCCGTCGAAATCACTTCAATCAATTTCACTCATAGCAGTTCGCCTACGGGGATCATTTCTTTACTTCTTTAATTTTTTATTTTGTCCGCCTGTCAACTGAACTAACCTGTTTTTATGACTTAAAAGGAAGCTTTATTTGCACAACCGCAAACAGTGCTTTTCACATTAAGTTTTCATTTTTGCTTTCATTTTTTTCCTTATTATTACTTGGGTCTTTTTCTCTATTGAAGAGTGCACCTGGCCCATTCCCAGCCATCTTGAGTGACGCTCGCCATGAAGAAGTTGGGGAGCACAAAGCACGATGGGTACCTTTCTATCACCATCATCAATCGCTCGTATACAAATAGAAATCATTTACCGAAATATTTACCCTAAACATCGTTTGCACAAAAATGTACACAAGTCTTTATCACTTTCTTGCTGTTTTTATAAGTTTATTCTTTGATTTCAGACTTACGGAAATATTTTTCAATTCACACTCAACAGTCTACAAACTGAAAGGGAGGCTTGGAGGCCAAGGAACAAAACTTGACGTAAACATGCACGTATTATGATATCCGTCCTTTTTTAGAGTGACCATCAGAAGACAGCTATAGATGGCCAAAAGACATGTGGTTTGAGAGTTTTTAACACTGATACGTTTAAATCATCATCATTTTGCGTTTGAAAGCTGCCACGAATGAATATTTTGAAAGTAGCAGATAACAACATTCGGCTATAATCGGTCAACTGATCGACAGACCGACTGACTGACTGACTGACCAACGATCAACTGACTGACTGACTTACTGAAGGTATAACACCATATTGTACGCCACAAAAACTCTTTAAGCCATAATTTATCTCAGTCCAACACTAATCAGTCTGCTGCTTCGCGGCCGATGTCCATTGACGTTAAAGGCGACTCCAGCATAACCTGAATGAGTGGACGCTGACCGGAAGTAAGGGGTGTGTCTATCATTACACCAACTATTGCACCTCTTATAACAGTTTGTATAACCGGATATGAAAAAGCCAGAGTAGAAGCTGTGGTCACAGATAAGAAGCTGGTATTCATGACTTGTGGTAGCTACACCTCCACCTAGCCACAGGCCGGGGATTTGTGTCTGGTAATTTCCCTCTGCGACGAGACTGGAATTAAGTTTATAGGTAAAGAAAGCCTTTTCATTCGTTGTCTCATCCACAAAGAGAATTTCCTGAAACTGCAAGCAAAAAAAAAGAAAAAACAGACAGGAAAAGACTGTCGTGTCGAATAAGATGACTAGGTTAAGAGAGCAAGAACAAATAGATTAAGAATCTTCGGACTGAAACTTGATGAAAAAGCACCATTCTGGTGATAAGAAATAGTTTAGCATTCCAAAAAAAAAAACAGTCTCTAATTTTGAAAATGTAGTCATCAAATTTAAGAAACAGTGACCCATGTTCAAATTATGGGTGCCAGACCAAATGAAGCACAGTACAGAGAGTACTGAAATTCTTGTAGTAAATTTGGCATTCCAGCGGGGATCACTGACAGTCCTCATCTATAGTAGAATACAGAGTGGGTTAAAACCTAAATATAGAATAAAAACGATAAAACACCCAGTGAAAATATAAAATATTTCCAGAAAATTATAACATCAGGATAAAGTAAAATCAGGGCAAGAGAGTGTTTATAAGCTATTTATCAGGCTGATTACTCATTATGGCGCCTGAAATATGACAAACACATATGCCAGAATTAGCCAAATATCGTTAATCCTCAAAATTAAACTCTTGCACCTCAACCTCTCTTAATCACCTGAACATTATTGCAGTCAGTTCGGTAACCATCTGCACCATAAGGATAATTCTCGTCATAGGTCACTTGTGTTTTAGGGTCAGCAAGATCGTCAGTAGAGTAACACATCGTCCATCCTCCTCCAAATGACGTCATATCACAATACGCCCAGAATTTGCTGTTCCCGATGTTCGGTTGTATTTCGTACATCCCATCTGGAGCACTCGGGACTGTGGTCTTGATCTCCTTGCAATCAGTTCCTTTCAAAGAGAGAGAGAAAAAAAAAAAGAAGTTAGATACCAGGCCTCGTTATTAGCGATATAGGGCACGCTTTTTTCCGCCCGTGGGAAGATTTGAAACGAGTCGGGATGAGTTTAGCCGGAGGTCTGATATTATCAGTGTTATTATTGTCCTTAAAATTTGTGTAATCACGAGCAGTTCACCAGCTATTGACAAAGGATTAAAAAATATTGACTACTAATTATATTACTTACTTTATATTACTGCTTTCCATAAATGTTGTGCCTTAGAGAACTTTGTTGATTTCTCGTTTGAACGACCCGAGGGGTTCCGCGCAACCAGCCTCGCAAGGGAGGCTATTCCAAAATATGGCGCCACTACAACTAAAACTATTTTTGAATGAATTTGTTGGTGATATTCAAACATTAAGTTTGTTCTCGGAGTTCCTCAAGTTTTAGCTTGTATTGAAATCCCGTACAGACCTCCCGCCGGCTCGCGTTGCTTAAGGTATCATACTTTCTCGCGGACGTTTCTCATTAGCTTACCTGTCATAAGTTGGCAGACTCCTACGCCATCGAACACACCGCTGACACAATTGCATACATATGAGCCTGCGGTGTTAACGCACTCCTCGTTCACCGGGCAGTTGAACTGGTTGACTTCACACTCGTCTATGTCTGTAGCAAAAAGTGACTTTCAAATGAATGACAGGGAAAATCAGCTCAGGGAGGTCACTTAGGTCAAGCATCGAAAGTGATCCTAAACTGCTTTGAATTTGCTTTACCTTGCTCTGTGATTGGTTAAGAATACTCGCTCTATCCTCTAAATCAATTCACGCTATCAGATACAAAACTAAAAACAATCGCGTCTTAATTTATGAGGTGACACCACATTGCTTGGTTGCTTAACATACCCGTTTCACAGCTGTTCCCGGTAAATCCTGGTGGACACAGACACTGGAAAGTTGTCTCCGTGAGAGAAAGACATGTGGCGTTATCAGGGCAAGGACTTGACGAACAACGACTCTAACCAAGAAATAAATAAATTATCTGTCACGTTATTCTGGCAGAGAAATCATGAACAGTCGCCAAAACTTGAAAATGAAGTGGGCAAAAACTTTGGAGAGTCAAATAACGGCGTAATTTCGGGCAAAAGAGTTAACTGAGTGTGCCCGATACAAAGAATTACAGTATGTCGCATTTAATCCCAAAAGGCGAAAAGAAACATTTCTTTAAATACATCAGCAAAGATTTTGAAAACTTATCAATGACAGCTGCTAACTAAAATCTTGCCAAAGATAATAAATTTGTTCCCTGAATTTGGTGAAACCTTACGCAATTTCTTTTTTTAAGTCAGCTACACGGCATAATTATTTTAGATAAATTAAAGTTAGATGTTCAGTGAACATTAGTCTCCATTCTCCCTCTCTCCAACATTGCTTTGAAACGAGGCTATTATCGTGCGACATCTTTGGGCGGAAATCATATTCTCTCCTAATGTAAATAACCTCCATTCTTACGACAAAAGCTTTGCTAATTTGGCCTCATTCTGAGGGAGAGGCCTTTTTGAAACTCAGAAATGGCCCATGACATTGTGTACCTCAGTTGGCCTGTATATGTACCCTGCCATAGGAACTAAGTCAGCAGGGTCTTGGATGTGATCCGATTTGCTGAGCTCACATTGATGTCCATGAGCCTGTTTGGGTCCTATGTTATAGGAGAGACACATGAGGTCGCGATAACAAGCAATCTCACAATGGTCATCTGTCTCCACTGGTAACGTTTTGATAATGTGACCAATAAGGGCTTTATCAGCAATGCCTTGTAAGAAATGTACTTGTCTGCAGACATCTGTAAATAAAACAAGAAGTGTCATGAGATTTTTTTCAAATATGGTTTGCAGAGGTTTTCAATAAAATTTCCATAGGCGTCTGCCAATGGTGTAATAGGATGCAGTGCCCGGAGAAGAGCCGTAAGACGAAAATCAACAACTGATGCCTGCTTGCAGGCTTCCCCACAATCTTTGCGAAAACTTTTCAAAATCATTTGTTTAAAGCCGAACAACACTTTATGAGGATGAATTACTTAAAAAGTCAAATGCATAAAAAGTGGGAAGATGCAAGCACATTTCTTATACATATTTACGCTTTCCTTGCAACTTTTCTACCATAACGCAACAAATTGATCTTTTAATTACTTTTTCATTTACAACGCTCCCTTGTGATGAGTGCCGGCAGCAACATTCAAAAACCACCATCCACTTTCTTCCTATCGTGTTGTAACGATCCGAAATAATTTCTCATTTTGAGTTGAATATCCTTACCGCACATCAAAGGAAACGTTTGAGTTTGTGCGTTTTTTACCGCAAATTATCATGCTTCATCCTACACCTGACCAAGAGATGTTTCGAGAGACCCCTAATTAGCATGAATCATAAATCACTTTTGCCGATATATGTATTTCACGCAAACATTTGTTTTTCAAACTCAACTTAATTGGCTTTTCTTTCGGTTTGCCTTTGTCAAAAACAACAACAACAACAACAAAAAATTGCGAAACCTTTAGCGCACAAAAACTAGTTTAGTGAATTGCTGTAGGTTTTTTTTTTCTGAAAAAAAAAATTCAGGCCTGTACGGGATTTGAAACCATGACCTCCGGTAGAACAGTGCTCTACCGGCTGAGTCAACAAGCCAACCGAGAGCTGGTCACTATATTGGTTCCAAATAAACCTGTAAGGTAATAAATAAATCCATTATTCAGGCCTGAATGTTGTTTTTCAGGCCTTAGTTTCATTACTGCTCAAGTAGTATTCGTTCATGCGAAGATCGCTTTCATATTCACGTCTTTATCCGCAGTTTAGCTATATGATTTTCATATAATCACAATTACTTAACTCAAATATGCCGGTGAAAACACCTAATCGATTATATGTAAAGGTTTACATTCATTTCTACCGCGCAAGAAATTTCACCCTAATCATTTCCACCACATACTTCTCAGCTCAGTTCTTGCCTGCAAGAAAGTGCCACGTCAGATTTCTTTTTTTATGCAGCAGAACTGGTAAGATAAGTGGTAAGGGTAATAATAAAGTTTGTCGAATATTTTCAAATGCGTTAATTAATTATCTCAGTTTCTGCCAAAGGAGTAAAATTGTGACATATATATGTTTCATATCTCGAAATTTAAAGTTTTCGTGAGTATATTTAGCCTTAATGATTGCGTTTATCGTTGTTAGCAATAAGTGTTAGCCATAATATTTAAACGTGGAAAGTCATTATGGGAAAATTAATAGCTCAGGCTCATAATTCGAGCTGTACAACTATTCCGGTCTCTTAGTCGTAAACACAACTAAGAATTCAACAACATTTTGTATTACCATGAATTAGTAATGATTAGTTATGTATCAGTCCTCGATATGTAAAGTATCGTTATCTTCAAACATTGTACCAAGTCCCTTCTTAGTGTTGCGATATTAGTGGAGTAAAACAGCGGAAAATCCTTCCTATCAGCTGAAGTATTTACAAGTGATAAAATGTTGTCGATAGTCTTCCGAAATATTTTTACGCTTGTTGAATTTTTAGTGCTTGAATTTTCGCGCAAATTTTCGTAAGTAGGAGATCTGAAACACCTGGTGTGTTTGACTAAACTCTCATCGTGAGAACAACTTTCCGTCTCTACCATCACTCAAGACTGCTTATCGCTACCCTCGAGATGGATAACTAAACCGTAAGCAGAACTGCGAACGAGAAAATGATGCTTTGAGTGGAAAGAACTTTCTTAGGTTTCAACCTTGGAGACAAGGTAAAGTATGAACGTTTCCTTTTTTCCTTTTTTCCTTCTCTAACTTTAATTAATTTTAGAGACTTACCGCTACCTCCGACAACCACGAAATGAACTGCGAACATAAGGTAATGTGATGAAGCTATGGCGAGAAACATGTTTTAGAGATGATACTTTGCTGTCAAGTTTCTAAATTAGATTTAAGGAAGAGTTGGGAAAGCCTGACAGCCAAACGATCCAATGACAGGCCAGCTTAAAACTCCAAAGCGAGGCAGCCTTGTGTCTTGTTATGTCGTTACTATGGAAATCATCGCCAACACTTTTTTTTTTAGACAAATAATTTAACTCAAAAAACGCTAAAGAGGTTCTACGAAAGTCTTAACCAGCTTTGCCAGAAATCTTCGAAAAAGGCTGTCTGCAAACGTGACTCAAATCTAAACTTAACCAAATAATATTTATTTTGATTTGATTTAAAACGGCTTTCTCCTAATATCACCCACCACATTAAATATTGAATATTTATGTCCTTATGCAATTATCACGATCCTTTTTGTATTGTGGTGACATTTGCAGCGGACATTTGTATGTGATGTTTGCATGAGGCTCTTGAATGATGGTTTGGCGTAGTCCTCACTTGGCCGCACGAATTCTAAGTACCACTTACAATGGTCAAAGTCAAAAGTTAATAATTTTACTGCTGTTAAACGGTTTTTTTTTACTAGATGTCCTCCTTGGTACCATTAGTTAGGGCAAGATGCAATATCTAGCATGCAGATATTTGGTTTTCTGTTAACCAATGGCTGAAGAACAAGGCACCAAGTTATTCCACACAATTTTATGTGGCAGCTGTGAAAATAACCCCAGAGAGTACAGAGAGTAAAGTGCAGGAATTTAAATAAAAATTCACGAGATCTACGAAGGAGACACAGCTTCGCTCTTGAGACACAATTTTGCCAATTACCACTAAGAAAATAACCATTCATTGGTCACCTAGGAAATTCATATATGGGCGTTTCCCTTTGTAGCAAGAGTATTTTATAAAAGAAGTACCTTATCGGATAGCCGTAGAGCAAATGTGTTTTAAACTCTTCTGTTTTAGTTAGTATCATAGTTCTTTTTCAATTGACCAGAAAAAAAACACAGCAGCTAATTTTGTCTTTTCATGTGCGTGTGTGTTTTTATTGAATATTTATCGAATCAAAGGACTACTTGCAAATTTTTTTGCTGTATTTGGTTTTCCATATCAAGCTTGTCTATTTTGTTCGTAGATTAGAGTTACAAGTGTATACCTTTGGCTCTTTGTATTTCATGTATACTTATAAGCCGTCCAACAGACGTTTGCAGTCAGTTTGTCTTTGGTTGAAATCAGACTGGAAATTGTCTTACCTTGTGTTACCCTCTGTGGGTTCACCTTGACGTAAAGCTGATTAAGAGTACTACATCTTCGATTCGTAGCTTTGGCCTAACGTCACCATTCAAAACTCTCTTTTATGATACTCAGCGGGCGCAGTAACAGCAAAAGTGGCTTCTACTGTGGTTATTGGGCAGAATAAGACTTTTGATTGAAACTGTTTGAAGTTTTTCATGGGTATATACTGCCATACAGCTTTGGAGATTCGTAAGAATAGATTTAGAATGACGTTGCTAGCATGACTGAACAAGATAACGTGTCTCACAGGATTCCGGCCTACGAATGTTGCATAGTTACACCAATAAGAGTGGATAGTCTATGCATTACAGAATCAAGGAACATAATCGAATCATTACACTTTAGTCCGCGCGCACGCCCTGAACTCTGGCAAAGTAACTTATATAGATATTCCAAAATGGAATGACACGTTGTATTGTGTTTGTCAAGAGGTTCTAATCCATTATAATAGAGGGCCATTATACCATGCAGTTGTAGCTTCATTGCCAAACGCTAATGTGGCACACTATCAAAAGCCTAGAGATTCCTAACTTTTGCGTTCTAATATGTAAGTGATTGTGATGACGGAGATTTGCCTCTAATATATGCATGTAATAATAATAAATGTGAACTGTTAATGTGAAACCACTTTTCATCACAGGGCTGACCGTTTCCCCTCGTAGTCGCTAAAATGTTGCGCTTTTGTTATCACTGAATTTCCGCTGTACACGTAACTGCTCAAATTTGACTTTGCGTTCTTCTTTAATTGTTTACTTTCTATGTTCAAATAAGTATGGTTAAATCGTTTCATAATTTCTTCACAAGTACCACTTGTTGTTAGTAATGGGCAGGACTTCGTTTCCTCCAATTCGGTCTGTAATCATACGATTGATTTACAAAATTGGGCGACAGTGAGGTGGGAGTCTGATTTGTTGGTCACGAGTGGTCGTCCCTATGGTTTTTGTAATTAGTTCTTTGGTGGTGGATTTAGGGTAGACTTAGTATGATTGGCTGCTTTAACTGTCCGATTACAGGTGTCTGATTACAGCCAACTGTCCGATTACAACTGTACAGAATGATTAGTGAAAAATAAAGCAGCTAATTCACCAGTCACATCTGAGGAAATTGTAATGGTTATAAATAAAGGGGTAAGTTTCTAAGGAAACTGTGGTGCTGCGTCTGTGGGAGAGTATAACAGGGTAATTTGATATTATCAATTGGGTTGATAACGTAAATTGGCCAAATTTAATCAGGAGTTCCAAAGCTGACGTTTCGAGCGTTTGCCCCTCGTCAGAGCGAATGGCTAACGAAGGACTAACGCTCGAAACGTCGGCTTTGAAACTCTTAACGGCGGCCTATTTGCATTATCAACTCATAACCATTACAAATTACCTTATGTTGCAATTATGTAAATAAATTGTTCTGTTATCAGTGGTTCCGTTTGGTTATTATTTTGAATAAAAATTGTTAGTTGTCTTAAAAAAGGATATTCATTGTGTTGAAGTCATAACTATGTTGCTTTTCAGTTTTATTGATTTGTATCAGTTTCTGTTCTGCAGATTTGAATATTATTTTTATAAAAATTATTAGTTGTCGTAAAAAAGAAAACCCGTTGTGTTTAAGACTAAACTATGTTGCTTTTCAGTTTTATTGAACTGTATATCAGTTTCTTTTCTGCAGATTTGAAAATTATTTTTACAAGAATTACTAGTTGTCGTAAGAAAGGATACACGTTGTGCTTAAGACTAAACTATGTTGCTTTTCAATTTTATTGATTTGTGTTAGTTTCCGTTCTGCGGGTTTGATTCAATAGACTATGCCACTTTGTGTTATGTCAAGTCTCCTGCCGTAAAATTCCGAATACATAAACAAATGAAAAACTAAAAGTTAAAGTTTTTGTCAATTTTCAGCTATAACTAAACTCAATAGATTATGAATAATCTCTCGTCAAACTTCATTACGACGCTCTAATCTAATAACACCGAGTGATTCACGGCTAAAAGGGTGGCGTTCTTATGCGCGAATTTTGCGACGGAATTTCAGCTATTATTGGGTCTCAAGGGCATCAAGGCAACAGCTTAAAGTGTCTCGGAAACCAGTCAGCCACACATGCTTTGTCACTTTTCTTGATTGTTCTCAAATGGTGCAGGCAAATCAACATGCTCTCTAAGTTAGCTCGCAGATAGAAAGGATGGGTAGAATTCTTCAATTTTTGTTGTAGTTCTTCATGCCTTAACCGAACAGACCGCCAAAGGCCTCCCTATCTCTCGATATGAAGATTTTTCTTTGCTCGACATGAAGCTAGCGATTGGAATAAGACGGGCTGTGACAGATCCTTAGCTGTGGCTTTAACCTTTAAATGCTAAAAAAATGGTTTCCCTCGACTGGTTGACATGTCAACGCGCACTGGAAGCAGATGTGTTCTTTTGGTCGCCGTCTGCGTCTCAATACCCTTTAATGATTCACTTACCTTCCAAACACAGCCATTCGAAAAGTCTGTGTTTCGCTGAGGATGTGAACCGAAGCTTACTGAGAAAACTATCTTCGGATACAACGTAAATGAACAGGACTTCTTTACTTCCATGGATGTTGGTCTTTCCACTCTTCTTAAGACATCTGAAAACTGTCGCGTTATCCCTCCCTAAGACTCCTATGAAATGACTTTAACAGATTTTCAGATGAAAAAATTTCAACACATTTAAGAGAAGGTTTCTTTACTTTCAAATGACTTTGTAAGGTAAAATACTTATAACATATAAAAATTAGAAAAGAAGTTGCATATAGGTAAAATTGGTAGAGAGCTGGAAACCCGATTTAGAGAACACCGGGAGTAGTGGGAGTATAGCGGGCCTGACTGCCACTGGAGAGCATATCAAAAAACATCGTGACCACGAATTTTCCTCCGACAGCGTTACTGTCTTACCGCAAATCATTCCACCCTTCCGCATCGTGCTCACGAAATATTTCATCCCTTGGATGGACCCGTTTAAATTGCTAGATCCCTTAATTTTTCTTCTTTATATTCAATTCGCTAATTTTCGCACGGTAAGAGGCAACTTATCAAGGACTATTCACCTCTTCACTGTCAAAGTGCTATATCAAGTCCCAACGATATTACCTCAAGCAATAAATTCTTGAGAAAAGCAGAAGTAGTTACAATTTTCTTTTTCGATTCAATAAATAGAAAAAGAAAAAGTGTACCTTTCGCTAACACCATATTTTTTCACTGTGATAACTTAACCATTCATAAGAAACTTTGAGATATGCAGTTGATCTATAATTAAAATGTTATTGTTATGAAATTCTGGCCACTATAAAAACGTACATGGCTGAAGATACTTTTCACACGACCATCACCAGACAGAAAGTGTTTATTCAAGCTTACTTGAAATTTAGGCTTCTTAGAGTCTCCTTCCAACTTCATCAGCCATTCGATTGTGTCGTGCAGTTTTTTTGCGATCTTTTGGCCTAATAAGACGTTAGCAAATTTCAATTCGGCTAAGAAATAATGCGAATTCGGTGTGAGTCATACATACACTTTGACTTACGTAACAAAGCTTTTTGTTCAATCTGAGTTTATCTAGGCGCCTTGGTATGGACCAATTATGTCAGAATCTCTTTTGCTAAAAGAACCTATTGACCAGCTCAGGGCAGCAGAACTGTAATGATGGAGACAGGTGGTCAAGTCTTTTTCTTACAGAGAACATGGAAAATAGTAAATACAACCAGACGCGGTAGATTAGCCAGCCGAATAGTAGTGCATGTGTTCTGGAAAGGATGAAGTTAGTACAATAATGTGAACTTGAAGGTGCCTGTATAATGTGACGATAGGTTTTCGCGCCCAAACTGGTACACGGAGATCTACTTCGAGTGAGCTTATACGGACGTCAAGGATAAGACAATCTTTGGTTCCACAGTACTTTTATTCTAGGTCAGGCCAACAAGCGACATGACCTCTAGCATACTCAAGTTTGTAATCATCAAATCTGTACAAGGTACTTGCTTAAGAACTAACTGGTGTGAGGTGCTATTGTCACACAAATCTCAATATTTCAATAAGGACACAAAGGAGCGGAAAAAGGTCTCTTTGAAGCTAAACGAAAACTACTTAAATATTCCATCTGTTTCTACGACGGAAAGAATCTCAAAATTAAAAAAGACGGATACAATAAACTCTAGGCCATTAAAAATAGGAAACTTAGGTGCGAATTTACAGCTCTGGTATAGAAAATAATACCTGTCTTACTTGCAGCAGCGCAGCTTAGGAAATAAAAACGGAAAAGCAATTAAAAGTTTCTGCTTATCTATGCAAGGTTGGTTTGGAAACCATCGCATGAAAAGAAATTAAATTTACAAGTATAACCTCAGCTGCTAACTACCATGAAAACCAATGTTTCCAAAAAGACCATTAACAATTATATTTACCTTAAAAAACCATGTAATAAATAACAAAAGTGCCGACAAGCAGGTGCGTATGATGAAAGCGAGTAACAACAAAAATCTATTCCAAAAGCTACTGTGGTTTTTGTACATTTTTTGATTTACTAAAACAAAAGGACTGGAAATGGTTAAATGTAAAAGTTTACGAATAAATATGTTCCGAATAACACACACGGAAAAACCAGTAAATTTTCCGTAACAATAAAAAGCTCAGTTGAGGATTGTACGTGCTTTCCCTTCGGTCTTTGATTATGACTTCAGTAGAAAAACTCTAATTACTGCGATTGGAAGCAATTGTTCGTTCGACATGTCGCTGGAGAAAAGAACAGAAATTTAGAATCCATGCAGACTGAGCCAATTCTACTTTACGAGCAAGATTCTTTCCAGATCCTACCATCCTCGTAAAGATAGGGACCTAAGTCCCATATAAATTGCTTATGTTCCTTTTTTTGTCGGCAAACTTTCCTCTCATCCTGCGTGCACTCGGTACATATGAACTGGCGAGTATCCCCCTTCCACGAATGAGCAAACGTGCAACGATCGATATCGTGAAGCTGGGAACTAGGATTTGTATGAGTGTTGCACTCCTTAGATTTAAACGCTCCAAGAACCCACGCCCCATGATGAAGCCTTCCTTTGTGATCAATCCCCTTTGGCCGAAATTTGCGCTTCTTTTGACCCTGTTTCCCCGTGACAGTTTTAAGTTTGCTGACTGTTTGGGACATAGACGGCTCAGCCACGGATGGATTGGTTTGACATCTTGCTGATTCCTGTCCTCCTTTATCTACCCCGTATTTAACGGCGGTTGCATACGAAGGTGAGGCTGTTTCGGCGGACACAATCTGAAATTCTGTAGCTGCAACTCCCGGAAGCGTCGCAGGAGAAGCTTCTGATTTTGCCTTAGAGGGCATGCTGGTAAGTACAACACGAGGTTCTTCCTTCATCAAGACTGAATTTCTCCGCGCACTGCTGACTGTTTGGGACATAGACGGCTTAGCCACGGATGGATTGGTTTGACATCTTGCTGATTCCTGTCCTCCTTTATCTACCCCGTATTTAACGGCGGTTGCATACGAAGGTGAGGCTGTTTCGGCGGACACAATCTGAAATTCTGTAGCTGCAACTCCCGGAAGCGTCGCAGGAGAAATTTCTGATTTTGCCTTAGAGGGCATGCTGGTAAGTACAACACGAGGTTCTTCCTTCATCAAGACTGAATTTCTCCGCGCACCGCTCTTTAAGTCAGTCGTTTTGTCGCCATCTTGATTAACGGTCAAAGAAACACTATTACAATTGGCGTTTGATCCTCCTGTCGACAGCTCATTCATCTGCTTCTTCTCCTCCAAGTTTCCATTCATAGCAGAATAAGTGTCTTCGTCTATTGGATCGAATGCATAGGGACCAGTCACGGAAAATCCAATATAAAACCATAAGTTGTCCCTGCTTGGCTTCGGGTAGAGCATATCGTCAAAGCGAAGCTTTATTCCATGATAAATAATGATACCCTTAGCTTCTTTTTGACCTCTTACACGCAAGAGTACGTCGGAGACTTCTTTGCTTCTCCAGAACTGAGTCTTGGTCTTCCACTTATTCTCCAGAGTGGGGAACCTTTGACTACTTACAATGGCGGAAAGGCCCTTTCCCTTTCCAAGGAAGTATTCAGCCCCCGAATACCGAACTTTCCAATTGGGTTTCTCTTGAGCAATCCGACGACATTCTTTAACAGATGCTAATGTTTTAAGATCATACGGTGCCAAACTGCCATTCGGTATGGGAAAATGGATCATGAAATTGAACAGGTGTGCCCAATGTGAGCCTGGAAACCTTTGTACCCAGTTTTGGACAACATCACCGAGCTCTTTCACCGGGGGTTTTTCCTCATTTCGCAGTCGAAGGCAGGCCCTCGAAAAAATCACTATGTCATCGTGACTCCCATGATCCTTCAAGCATACTGGCTTAAGAAGATGATAAATCGACGAAACTACTTCATCATCAAGGTTAGACCATCCACTATACGATGTCTCGCGTCGCTTAAAAAGAGTATCTTGCACTATCTGAGGAATGAGGTCAGGTGCGTCTTTCAGGTCTGGCGACAAAGGCGATTCAACATCCACTAGCCTGCTTCTGTCAAATCCAGTAATCTCGTAGAATTGTCGCCGCAACTTGCAAGCTCTTATTCTTGCACTGCTTATAACACTCATTTCATTATCATCATACGTAGTTAACTGTCGGTATTTGACATCTCCAAAGAGTTTGTTCAGTAGGTCCAGAGTTGTTCGACTAAGACTCTGAACGTAGTTGTGGTCACCTGGTAAAAGTACTTCTTCCATCTCTTTAGGAATCTCTCCACTCTCTAAATAACTTGAAAAAAGGCCGCTGTCGAGAAGAAAGCATGGTAAGCCCTTCACAATTTTTAACAGCAATACGATCACTTGAATTTTCCCGATCATTGAGTAGTAGTTGAGGGACATCATCATTTTGATTGCTTGATCATACACTTCCAGCGCCTTACGACATGTGTAGATGACATCGGGAAGGTGAGACACGAGATTTTTACCATCTTGATCGTTGTAATCTCTCAGTTGTAAGACGTAGAGAACGCCTTTTGTCACATAATGATGACTGTAGCTTGGTTGCTGGTTGATAGAAATATCAACAGCAATGTGCGCTGCTTCAATGCCAGTGTTGGGTCTAGATAATCTGACGTCTCCCACTTTACTTTCTTCCATGACACTGTAAAGGAGCTCATGCAGGTTATCGGTTCTTTTAAGTTCTTCAGACCGCATCTCATAGCCCATGAATCTTGCCAGCTGTTGCCAGGCGTATGCTTTATACTCAGTTTGGTTGGCCTTCTGGCAGGTCGTAATAAGAAATTCTAAAGTTTTTCGATTGCCATCATCTTGTCCCTGTATGTCTAATATCAAGGGGGAGTACCTCGTGCGAACTTCATAAAACCCGAAGAGATCAGTTTCAATATCTGAACCAATAATGTCGTCATCTGTTCCTCCTATTTGCGAAAGGCAAACTGGTTCGGAAATTCTCTTCCGACTTAAGAAAATCTGAAATAGCTGCTGTCTCAAAAATTTGTTCACATAGGCCATTCCTCCCTCTGCGTTTTCCAAAAGTAGAAGAGCAATAACTTCAACATTCATTCTTGACTTGACAACTTCACTTACTAGGTAATGTGCAGGTTGCCAACCGTTATACCCATGGGTATCGTCGAATCCTTGAAGGAGAAGTCCTCCAAAAAGGTCATGAATGAGATCTTTTCTTTGATGCTCTTTCTCGCCATCATTGCTCTCTTTGATAAGCAAATCAACCACAAGGGGATGGGGCAAGATATAGCGACTAGTACTGTAGTAGTGAAGAAAGCAGCAGAAGTTGAGGACCTTTTCGTGTACTGAACGGGAACTTCCCAGGATAGCCAAAGTACTATTGACGTGATTCTTGAGCCGTTCCTCTATCTTGTCGTAATCTCTTCCAAAAAGCTCCAACCCAAACCAAATAAATCGCTTTTCGCGCTCAAGGACTTCTTCGCAATTCTTCCTCTTCTCGCTATCTTTTGTGATATTAATCAAGATGTTCTTCACAAGCTGCATTTCTGTCCCATCCAGTTGTTTCAGGGGCGTAATTTCAAAATCTGAATCAGGGACTGACTCTTCAATGGGAACGGTGGAGAGTATGACACATTTTGTCTCCATTGATGTTAGAACCTTCGACAAACGTTGAGTGTCGATCTGAGGAAAATTGTCGATAAGTACCAGAGCCGGAGGTGAATAATTACATTTCATCTTTTCGTAACCTTTACTTTGAAGTTCTCTGATTTGAAACTCGGTACTTGCTGTGATAGCCTTGACAACTGCACAACGGAAAACCTTCCGCTTTTTCCACAAAATTCTCCGACACAGAGTCGTTGCACCAGATCCCGGTTCGTAGGGGACAGTCACAGTCTGAACGTAGCAATTACGATCACCTCTTGCTTCTCTAAGGGAATTTAGGGCTTGGTCAATCTTTCGAGTTATTTCCTCCTCTAAGGTCCTCTCGATGCTGTGGTCATAAAACAGATTTACTTGGTTACACTGGCCACCTTTGTAAAAGGCATCTCTCACTTTTTCGATGTCCTCAGACAAACGAGGCAATCGATCCTGAGGCTCGGGATAGTAGACTTCAAGATCAACCCAGGAGTTGATAACTTTGTTGAGAATATCTTTAAGGCCAGTGATATGGGGAAGCTTTGTGGTAGCACCTTTTTCTTGAAACTCAAGAGGCCCGACCATCTCTTTAACAATTTCTTTTAGTAGATCCCACGATATCCCGGTGATGGAACATTCTCTAAGTTGTTTTCTCACCAGAGGCGACCTTGAAGCCTTGATAAAAGCATCGGCAACCAGTTTGTTTTCGCTTATAATGGTGACAGATTTGCTAGCAATCTCCTCACCAAGTATGCTGAAGCAGCTTTCTGCGATATCCGACATTTCGAGAACGGCATTTTCTGCAAATCCAAGAAAAACAAATATCAGTCGTCCAGAGGGAAAACTCTGCTTATAGGCAGTTAGGGCTCGATACAAGCAGTCTTTTGAACATGTGATCCAGTCTTCCTCTTCCATTCTATCTGGCTGTTTTAAAATCCACGTGGTCCATCTCAACGAAAGGGGACAATCCTTGTCACCAATGGAACTTGGGGACACATCCTTAAAGTCGTGGAGGGTCTTGACGTTTGCACGCGCGCCGTCTCCCACCTCGTTGCAAGAGAAGTATAAGCCATCTTCTTTTGAGGTAGCATCGAACAGATCGAATACGGCCACCCAAGGAATGTTTTGCAAAAAGGATAACTTTGAAGTCCTTCTGTGCTCTGGAGGCAGCTTGTTGGCAACAAGAATGTAGTGATACTCTTGAAAATTAAGGTCACGTAAACGCTCTCTGACTATCGTGCTGAACTTCTGGAGGTCACCATCATTAGTGTTCAGACCTGAAATCGATTATTGCGGCATTTTTGTTCAAAAAATCTTTATTTTTTATTTATTATATATATACATACATATATATATATATATATATATATATATATATATATATATATATAGGAAGTCTGCAAGTCGATTTTCGCGTGGAACAGTGCTCAATACGTTGAAGCAGAGCAGAATAAATATTATGAGAGGAAAAAAGGACGCAACTACATTTGTACAAAATGTAACAACAAAATGTAGTTGCGTCCTTTTTTCCTCTCATAATATTTATATATATATATATATGTGCGTGTGTGTGTGTGTGTGTTTTTTTTTTTGGGGGGGGGGGGCTGATACAATATCAACTTAAGGGGGTACATGGTCTTATGAGCAATTTTCGCAACTGACGGGTATCCACAGAAATAAGTATGGGGACCTAAAAACTGATTTCAAAGGTAACAAGCGCAACTGATGATAATTTTTGATTCATTTTTTTTTAGCGATTGAAGTAAATTACATTTACAAACTAGTGCACAAACAATGGCACTTTTGCATTTTGTGCGCTGTATCCTGCAATAAAGAGTCATGCACTTCCTAAGTTCGAAAACGAACAAAGAACACTTTTGCAAGACTACTTTTAACTGAGTCTCAAAGTGGCAGATTTAAAATCATTTCTGCACGAAGGCAAATGTTACTACAGGTGTTTAGGCGAAGCCACTTACCATCAGAAGTTAAACCACTGACTCCTGAAAGGAGAAGAATGAAACAAGTTAAATGATGGACTGTACTTTTGCAGACCACAATCTGATCATCGGAAAACGTTAACTACTGCGACAAACCGCTGTCCTTTACCATTGCTTACATAGTGATGATAACAACCGCTATCCGATCATCAGATTGCGGGTCTCGGATAAGATTTGTAGCTTTTTTTGTCTTTTTTTTTAACTATCTCAGGCTTACGTACTTACGTACCACATTTGATATCCCGTTTCCATTCCTTGTACTTTTTAGTCAAGGGGTCTCGTATTTGCCATTTCACTTCATTTGGCTTAACACAGCAAGATGCGCCGTTGGTACGAATTGCAGCTTCCACACACTCGTCTTTTACTTTGAAAACATCTCGCAAGCCCGTTTTGCCAGTGCAGTCCCTGCTCTCTCTCTTTTCGCTCCAAACTTTGTAGTAGTATACATTTTCTTTACAATAAAGAAAGTTTCGAGCCACCTCGATTTCTATGACATAAAGATCAATTAAATTCTCCGTGCTCTTAACAGGGATGAAGTAGATATTGATACAATTTTGTTCCCCGCCTTTCTGAAGCGGCCTATCTTCGCTTTTTATGTGGTGGTCAAGAACATCTTGGAAGGCTGTTATGATATCGTCTTTCATTTTCTCAACGTTAAGTCCAATAATTTCTCCATGTTGGAACTTCGAGCCTTGTTCTTGAGAGTCTCCCACTCCGAAATATATTATACCTTTCCTATCAGCATTTAAGCAGCCACAAATGAACTTTTTTGCCTTCTCCATTACTTTCCATCTGAGCGACCAAGGGCTGGCACCTGCTAGAGACTTAAATTCTACCTCTCTGTCTTCATGACCATCTAAAACAGAGCCTTGTTGGTAGAAGAAATCATCCTCTACTTTAGCTCCGAATTTCCTCCGTTTACCTGGAGCAAAGAAGAAAAAGAATTGTAAGAGTTAAGCAATCGTGTCATGCATCATCTTTCTTCCAATAAATACTCTTTACCGCCCGACGGGTATCTCGGGCAAAGCTTGCATTAGAGAGAAATTAGAATCTACCCAAAGTTTGTTTTTATTGACACAATACTTGGATGTCGATAACGCGGGCGAGCCACCGTGCCGAGAAACTGAAATAGATACTTTGGACGGATAGCTCTCTTCATGTTTAACACAATGAGCCATCGCTTTAAAGGTAAGGAGTTATTTTTTTCTTCCTGAGTCGGCCATAATCAGAAGATACACTTTAAACTACATTACAGCATCTACCATGTTATCAGTTGTCACTCTATTCTCATTTGATAGTCAAGTTAGACTGTGGTCTATATAGTGTGCAGTTTTAATGTATTAATAAGCCCTTTTCCTCTTCTCGACCCATCAACGTTTGAAACATTCTGGAAGAAGACTGCAGAATTTCAGCGATGAAACTAGCTTCAAATAACCAAAGGCTGGCAGCAAATAATTTTTTTCAAATTTGTTTCCTGGGCCTACTCACATTTTTGGGCCATCTCCTCTGATCTTACAGCTGCGATTTCATCTGCGTTACTCGTCTCTGTTGTTTCACCATGTTGTTGGATTGGCGGCAAATCGTCATTTTGTGGCATTGTTGAGTTCGAACCCACTGGTGCGGACGAAAAGGTAACAATAGCAGTATCTGCATAGTTGCTGCAAAGGCTCAATTTACCTGCAGCTTCTTCGATGCTAGGGCTTAGTTTATCGGCAGATTGTGTTATGGTTGGCGTGGGTAAACTATTGATGATTTTATCAGATCCATTGGTCATTTCGATTTTCTCCAGCCTTGATTCCTCTAGCGTACTAAAACAATTGTCCTCTATCCCAAAACAGAGAAGAGAAATTTTGTATCAAACGATGCTATAGAGTACAACCCCAAATAAGGAGCACAAAAAACAAATGTACCTTGTTATGAAAATACCATTACTGTTGTATAAAAAGAAATGTATAAATTATTCACAAAATATATCAATGAAAAACTTCTATGCTAAAATCATATTAGTTTAAAATCACGTACCCTTCGAAAGAGCTTTCTGGCTCTCCTGTCCTTTGAATCGGTTCACGCTGTCTTGAGAATCACATACCATATCCTTTAGTTGATGGTTTTCAGGGATACCGCCAGTGATTCCATTTGGATGACAGTGGATATAAATACCATCTTTTTTGTTATGAAGCATGTTTTCTCCGGTCGATTTTGTGGAAAATACTCCTTCTTCGTCTATTTTCAGCGCTGGTTTGTCTTTTTCGGAGTTCTTTTCATCTTCTAAAGGTCTCTTTGTTTCTTGATTCACAAAATCTATGAATGTAAACGAGGATTTATGTTTCTTGCCACCTGCCCTATTACCCGATCGCCCAAAGAGGACCAGCAGTATGAAGTCGAAATGTTACGATTCACCTCAGAAACAAACTAATCGTGAGAGAAACAATGGCACTAAATTCACTGTGCTAGTGCCTTCATCACAATGAATAACCATAAAACTTTTGCATTTATTTGTATTCATCGCGTTTTTGCGAAATGAAGTCTTTGACCTGAATGGGCCTCGTGCTCGAATAGAAATGTACTATACTTCAATTAACTTCATTTCAGTTTTGATAGTCTCCCGACATAACTCCAGGGCATGTTGGTATCTAATAATTCATACCTTCTTCGTCTTATCACCTAACTCACACCGTAAGGGTACATTCAAATTCTTGTCAATCTCTTGCTTTAGATTTCAGCCAGGCGCTCAGCTTTAATTGATGCTTAAAACGGTCCTTTTTGACTTGAATTACCTCTAGAATCCATACCTTGATCGGGTTCCTCAGTTGTAGGTGGTTGGTCTGGACTATCTTCAATTGCCATTGAAGCATTGGCTGTTCTGAATAAATTCTTCACGCCTTCTTTGGTGCTCTGCTCTTCATTTCCACACATAACATACAAAGTAGTGTCATATGTCGTATTTTGGTGTTGATTTGTCCCTTCGCAAGAAACCAAATAAACACGTTAACCCAATAGTTACATTTCTTTCTATTTTTACCGGCTTGTTCTTTTAAGCGAGCGATATATATTGGCTGGTAAATTGACTTATATCTTTTGCAACGTTTTGCTAATGACACTGAAGTTCATCATGTGTGATTCGTGTTAACTGTAGAAGCATTTTAGGCTTGCTTGTGGATAATGAATCCTTAGGGGGCTACTATGCTATTTAGGATTTTGTAAGTTATGCGGCATAGGGTAAAATATGGACTGAACCATTTTTTGGACCATTTTTTGGACCATTTTATAGGGGGGAAGCACACCATTAGTATTCAGGGAGGGGTGGGATGCAGTCTACTAGTACTGAGGGAGGGGTGGAAGGCAGAGTGTTATTACTCAGGGAGGGGTGAGAGAAGGACTATTGCTAGGCAGGGAGAGGTGGATGTAAGAGTAAACACTACTTGTTAATGGAGCTTTTACTCGATCGTACAAATTATCTTCATCGGTTTTTCGACTGACTTTTTGAATGTTCTTCATTTTTGTCGTCCTGCGAAAGCGAAACTGCCACGTGAACACTGGACTTTGATTTCTATTGAAAATATCGCGTTTTAGATCCTCTACTGTTGAGTTATGCCTGTGCCTTTTAAGTCGACATGTGTACCATTAGTTGCTTCACGTTTCCCTTCGTGTCTACAGTATGTAATTACTAAATTTATCTATCTTCCTTTTGTCATTCATCTTATCAGACGAGATCACGGAATTTCCGGTCCTTAGCCCATAACTTAGCAGCATATGGAATTCACGAGCGCTTTTGCAATTTCAACGTTTATACTTTTACTATATGAAATAATCAGCAAACGATTTCGAAGAGGAATCCATATTCTCGAATCGAGCAAAAGCACTGCTGTACTTGTAGTATGGGAAAGCGCAAATATCGATTTCATCTGTTTCGCAAACAAAGGAGTTAATCACCAACACCGGAAATAGCGACCATGCATTCCTCGCGACTCCCTTACGTTTGTTTTCCAATTTGCTCGGGCCGCTGCCAATCACTTCTTGTGTAAAAATCTACGTAACCTGCCAAGTGGAAGTACGGTGGCTACTGTTGCTTGCCGATATTTTCCGTCGGCAAAACGTAGAAGTCAGTAAATGTGACCAATTCTGTCCGGAAAATTTTATTGTCTGGAACTTGGATATGTCAGGAGAGTTTCATTGACAGCTGGATTAATTACACCCCATGTTGTGAAACCATTATGAAGACATCGCGCTTTGCTTCGCTTTTTTTGTCACATACAAAAAGGTAAACGTGAGGCAACAGAAAGATGATTCACGCTAACCCGTCGGTATCACTTAGCACTGGCACAAATCGACCTAGCAGGGACGAATTTTGTCGGCGGTGCGTTTGAAAATTTATCCGCCTCAAAAAATTGTCGAGTCACGACAAACCATCCGCACCTGTAAAGTGTTGGTAATGACAAAAAATTTGTCTATATTAACAATTTTGTCGCTAGTGCGGATAGGTCCATAGTCACATACAAAAAGGGAAACGTGAGGCAACTGAAAGATGATTCACGAGTATCACTTAGCACTGGCACAAGTCGACCAAACAGGCACACGCATGACTTAACAGTGGAAGATGGCGATATTTTCAATAACAATTATAGTCCAATGTTTAAGTGCCAGTTTCGCATTCGCATGACAAGAATGAAATAAACGCTACAACCCAGCACAAAAATTTTGACATACTAATGGTCGGTCAAAAACCGCTCAAAACAATTTGTATGATTCAATGAACACTCCATAATTAGTAGTAGTTACTCATACATAAACCTTTGTTTGCGAAACAGATAAAATCGATATTTGCGCTTTCCCATCTTTCTCATATTACATGTAAAGCAGTGCTTTTGCACGATACGATGATATGGATTCCTCTTCGAAATCGTTTGCAGATTATTTTATGTCCCAGTGTTTACGTGGCAGTTTCGCGTTCGCGTGACGACAAAAAATGAAGAACATTCAAAAAGTTAGTCGAAAAACCGATGGAGATAATTTGTACGATCGAGTAAAAGCTCCATTAACAAGTAGCGTACACTATTACATCCACCTCCCACCTCTCCCTGCTTAGCAATAGTCCTTCTCTCACCCCTCCCTGAGTGATAACACTCTGCCTTCAACCCCTCTGTACCAGTAGACTGCATCCCACCCCTCCCTGAGTACTAATGGTGTGCTTCCCCCCTATAAAATGGTCCAAAAAATGGTCCAAAAAATAGTCCAAAAAATGGTCTAAAAAATGGTCCCAAAAATGGTCCAAAAAAATGGTCCAGTCGATATTTTACCCTATGCCGAGTTATGCAAGAGCCACTCGAAGGTGTCTCCTTCAACTTTGCTTTTGTGTTTATTCACTACTGTATTTTCCTTATGATGATGTAACACTCGCTGTATCCTGCATCAATAAACGAGATGCCCGTTCCTAATGCTGTGTTTGTGTTTATTAACATTAGTTACAAAATATTTCATAATCGCTTCAGTGTGATTAGAGTATAAGTTAACCTTTGTGTTACATTATCATATCGTGATCAGGAACTTACCAAACCGAAAATGTGTGATATACATTTAGGGCACATGAGACAGGCTATTTTTACAGAATACGTGCAGAACACTTAAGTACTTCAAAGCTGTATCACGCAAAAAGGCCAGCTTAGAGAAGATGTAGCCGCTTGGTAAAGTTACGCGCGGATACGCGACTACGCGCAAGCGCGGATCTTCACGACGAAAGCCCATGAGGTCAAAAGTGAAGCCATTGTCATGTTTAAAGTGGCACGTCTCCTTTTCAGGAATGGCTATTAATCAAGTGCTTAGCGAGTAATCAAGAACTTAGCGGTCGATGAGTAAAGCTGTTAGTTTCAGTCTCAGGAAGCAGTTGTGCTTCACTAAAGGGCAAGTGAAATATTTCGCGGATAATCAACGGGGAGTTGATAAAAGATTAAAAAACCAACCTAAAGAAACCTTTGGAAAGCTGATGCTTTTAAGGTTAGCCTTTTGTTAGAGCATAGTCTTGGTAGCTGGTGGTCTTGTGGGCGCTTTGAAGAATTGAGCAACGCAAGCGTAAAAACGAAAATTTAAACTTCCAGAGGGTTGGGTTGAAAAATAGTAGAGGAAACCTTTTTACACTCGAAACTTCGCTGCTCTCTTTTGGGTCCCCGCCGCCATAACTTTCATCAAGTGCAAAAAGAAAAAAAAACGCCAGCTACGCTGGCTATTGGATCGTTTGGACCTCATCAGCTGATTGAGACTCGCAGCATGCGGTCGAAATTTTGCAGTCTACATAGGAAGTGACTACATCGGAGACAAGTAATAAACATTTCATAATTATTACGAAGTCAAAATCCTGTTATTTTGACAGTGCTTGCCCAAAGTTCTATGTCGGTGGGTGTAGGTAGAGATAGCGTAAACAATAGTTGAGATTTTGAGGCCTTTCTAGCGAGTCTAGAAAATAGTTCTACAACTGTCCAAAAGCTCTTTCATGCTGGTTGTCATGTGCTTTAACTTATTATTAGTTTCTTTTATTTTTTCGAGCGTCTTATTTTCTGCGTGATTATCATCATTGCCAGAACCTTCGATAAGGACATCTACATTTAAAGTAGAAGCTTCGATAAAAATCCAAAAGCAAGAGCAAACCGTGTCATATCAAGCCAAAAGGTTGATAAAGTATAATAGTATCTTATGAGTAAGAGTTCCATATATCATAATTTTGACATCAGCTATCAGGTGCAGAGGTCAAAATTATGTTATTAGTGCTAAGCAGTAGTAGTGGTATGAAAACACAATATGTAATAAAAAATTCCTCGTCGAAGCTCATTTTAAGGCCGTGAAATACGAAAATAAAAACTGGAAAAAAATCAAAAAGAGAAATATAAGCGTTGTCTCTCGATGTGGTCAGTTCAGATGTGGATCGTAGACCCCCGTCGTCGTATCAGAACAAACCAACAACACCGGACACCGCGCACTCTAGAACGAAGTAAAGTAAAAGAAGCAATTCACTTTAAACTTCAATTTAACAACATCAACAGGGACAGTGGAATTGAAATCCGAGAAGTCTAGATGCAGACGATCAAAAAAACGCAACAGCAGGGAGCCGTGCGGCAGCGGACCACAGAGGGAAACGGATCAGAAAGATGTACCAATCACAGCCGTGGAATTCCATCTAATAACGGCTGAGCACCACTTACTCGACCTCATCGCCGGAAGAAAACTAGCAGCGTGCAGTCGAAATATCGCAATCTACATCCGAAGTGACCACATTGTGAGACAAACGAGTATATTTCTCTTTTGAAGTGTTATTTACCGATGAATATACACAACCTATTTTTGGAAAAAACATTTTGATACTTTAATTCGTCTTTACCAGGCTATTTTTGAAACATTCTGTGCGAATAATACCCTCTAAAGAGTATCCAGAGAGTTCCACAAATTTAGTAGCTTTCAAAAACATCCTATCATCAAAAAAAAACTTTTTTGAAATACCTTCCTTAAAGACTTCAAAGCGCGCATCGGTCTTTGTGTTTTCGCACGCTTTCTGCTCCCCTGCATCCTGCTTGGATTTCAGCCACTGACTGGTTACAGACTCTTCAGTATCATTGGAAGGAGAGTCTTGAATAACAACTCCTTCTTTCATCATCAAAGTTTTAATGCTTAAATTCCTGTTCCCGTTCTGCACTTCGGAGATGTCATCTCCGTCTAAGGTTAAATTAGCACTCTTTTCTCGGTCCTCTGAAAAGACAAAATTATGCAGCCATGGTTGAGCCAGAAAAGCATCTAATTCACCTGATTGCAACCATGTTCTCTTTCTCCCTTAAAGCTAGAACCCAAAAGGCTATTCAATAGATAATGAAAGACTCAGGCCTAGTTCAGACGAACTAGGCGAACTTAATTGCAATTAGGTTCGGCTATAGCACGGCGGAACCACGGCTCTGATTCACACGGAATTAAGTTCGGCACGTCAGAAGCACGGCGTCTGAACTGGGTCTCATTTAACTTTAGTTTACAGTTAATTAAATTGGGAAACAGAATGTAAATTTAATTTCTCCATAAGAATAAAACGATGAAATCTGGTTTCAGTTTATGCCACTAAATATTTCTAAGGTTAATCCTAAACTTACCACATCGGTGTATTTCAGGGCTCACAATCTTGCTTTCAGCCTTGACCCCTTTATTTATGTTAGAAGTTTTATCTTTCAATTGCTCCTTTTCCACATTTAATGAATTATCTGGAAATTCGAAAGAAACGTCTAAAGTTGGATTTGGTTCGCCCAAAGAAGAGTATGTTTCACACATGTCCTTCTTGTCATCGTGTGTTGATTCGCACTTGTAAAGTCCCGGAGAACTGCTGGTCCTGTGGATGAAAACCTGTTCCTCCTCTTTACCTGCAAGGTATTGAATCTCATTTGGTGTGTTAAAACTCTTACTTTCCTCAGTTTGATTTTTGGAGGCACGTTTACTACCCCAAGACCCGTCTTTTGCAACAATTTTCACAGTGCTTCCACCGATGTTTTTGCTTTCCTTTTGGCTATTGATTGACGTTGTTTCTGTCAAGGAAACGGTGGCCGAAAAAAATCATAACTAGTAGTATCTCACTCCAAAAGAAAAATGGTGTCCTGGAACTAAAGAAAAAACTAAAAAATCGTGACTGTTAAAACTGCGAAACGCTCGGGAACTTAATCCCAAACAAATTACAAAACCTTCTAAAAGTCATTTGAGAACAACATAAAACACATTGTGCCTGCCAAGATACAGCGCATAACGTTTCGTGTTACTTCCCGGTCGAGATGGATCTTGTAGAGTTAAGAATGAAAGGTAAATATACTGGGGAATACAACCCTGGGTTAACCATGCTTCGATTCCCAAACGCGATACAAATCATGGCTGAAAAATTAAAACTGAAATTTGCTGACTTCAAGTGATGCTCTACGACATTCAGACGACTCTATGGACCGGTAGATATTATTTTTTTAGTGTTAATAAGTCCTAAAAGCATATTTCAATCGAAGAATTTGTGCTAAATCCTATAGCTTCAGAATTTCAGAGCGTTGCTTAATTTTCTGGCCGTGAAGTTTAGTAAACAACGATTCGAGCATGGAGAATTTATTATGTGGGTTTCATTCCGCGTTCGTTTTTCGCTTCTAAAAAAAATCGAGCTCTTCTCTGAAAAAATTTTTGCTCTCGAAATTTTCCTTAAGTATTCCTGGCTTCAATTTTATTGGAACTGAACGCGTACATTTGTGATTTTCAACATTGTACCACAATATGAATTGAAGGAAAATTGTACACGCTACTTTACAAAAAAAAAAATATTCCTAAAACTGGTCGTTTTCCTGTACATGTGAATACTTTCGGGGCCAATGCACCTTTTTTCAGCATTTCCTTCGTCTTTTTGTGACTTGAAAACTAAAACATAAGCCCTTATCTTCTCACCTTTGTGCTTATGGTACTTCTGAAACCAGTTCCTGCTAAACCTGAATGCTTGACCGAAGGGTAAACCCAAATTCTAGAGAGATTAAAAAAAATTCAGAAAATGAGCTCGTTCACATTTCTCATATTTTGAGAAACAGTATCTCTAAAGAACAAATAAAGTTTGAGCAACACCCTAATAAGTCTCCCGCAGAAATCACACAAAAATCTACAAACTTACAGAATAATAAATTGAAAGATGTCAAACCCTCTTTAATATCTTTTGATATAAGGGTTTCTGGTATTTCTCCTTCCCATTATTTTTTCAGCGTCGCAGATACAATTTTTCGCCACAAAGCGCCAACCACGCGGACAAAATTATAGCGAATTCGCCTGAACTTATCCTTACCCATCAAACTACGGGTTTGAAACCATTACACAGCTCGCAACACAACTCGCATTTTTCCGTGCACAATGAAATATCTTGATTTGCATACCTACGAATCGTTTATCCTTCCTAGCATTATTTTTTCGAACAGTATCGACACAGTACATAGCAATCGCTTCTTATAACTAGTCTTCGCCCATTTCTTTACAAATTCTTATTCTAGAATACAATCATACATTGAATAAAACATTTTTGAGTTCCTCCTCGGATTTCATGAGATTCAGCGTTTCATCCTGCGAGATGAGAATGAAAGAACAATTAATCAATCATCGTAGCTCTTTACAACACAATCCAGAATTCGAGCAAATGCAGAGCTTAGATGAACATTTTAGGACAAGAAAACAGTGGGACAAGAGTCTTCAGACAACGAAGCATTTCTGCCAAAGTTCTTACAAAGGTTGATAAGCTTTATGATGTATTTTTGAACTCTCCTACATGTACATCTCTGAGGACAATTAATGCTTCTCTCTGTTCGTCTTTTATAATTAAATCGACTTTGTCTTAAGGTACTTCATCCTTTGCTTCGATCAATAGTTTTCAACGTTTGGATAATAGGAGACCACGTTTGCATTTTGATTGTCAACTAGACGCTATTGAAGCGTTAACTCCAGCTTGCTCGGGGATTTGGTGTGTAACAAGTCGCCGATTTTATACGCAAAGTCGTAATAACTAGTGTGCGTAGCTATCGCCGGTTTCGTTGAAGGCACTTGAACAAGTTGCAAAGACGCAAGGGAAATGAGAACATAGCTCACAAGGTGATTGCGGGACAAAAATAAAAGTCAAATCAAAATGAAATCTGTAAAACATGAAAACATCGTAAATAAGTTGCCAAATATGTGTAAAATAATGCCAAAACAGACAAGCGAAATAATCTTGAAGAAAGATAGAATTCCTTAAAAAGGTCAAATCAAATGAAATCTTAAAACCTCAAAACATAGTAAACCAGTAGCCAAATATCTGTGACATATAGCCATAAGGCAGCCAAATGGGTACGCAAAAATCAACTCACGCGGCGCTACAAACATCCATCGTTGGGACTTTCATCATCTATTTTAAGACTTGGAAGCCTTTTTCTTTCACCGCAAGTCCTAATTATTGTAAAAACTGAACATCTGCTTTCATGTCAACTTCGCAATAGGAGTATAGAATTTGGCTAAGATCATCAACAGCTGAATACAAACATTTGTGGAGTTAAATTGACTATTTTCTCTCAGAAAGAAAAGATAATAATAATCACTTTACTTTCCAAGTTAGACCGCTAAGGAAATAGGAAATTATTAACTGGCTTGCAATATTTTTAGCTGAATGGCATTTCCAATTGAGTGCATGACTTCTTAAGCACATTTCCTCTTCTTTTGTAAGGTCTACACGGGTTTATTTTGATCAAGGAAGGAGTTAAAAGGAGGAAAAAACAACCAGATAATTCTAGCCCACGGCGACCAACACCATTTTATATTATATTGAAAACTCTATGTACTCGGGCTAAAATTTATGCCTTTGTACCACCCCCAAAATATTTGAGTAGAAGCCAATGACATGATATTGGGGCCAGAGCCAAACCAGATGAACCTAACAGGGGAGGCTCGCGAATCCAATCCTCAGTTTCCCACTTCCTTTCCTGGGAAGACAATGCAGATTTGGCGACCGTAAGAGAAGACGGCTTGCATTTTTAGGCTAAAGCCAGTTCCTGCGGAAGCTCGAATGATAAGGGACTTGTCAGAAATTAGCAGGGGGGGAGGGGGGTTGGGAATTTTAAATTTGGGTTCGGAAATTAGGTGACCCATCCCTACAATGGGAGTGAAATTTGCTAACCCTCCCCTTAAGCTTGGCCTAAAATATCATGACCCTCCCCCTCTTGTATAAATGATAAAATCTAGTTCTTGCAATACACCAGGGTGCGTCAGTATTATGAAAACTCAAAATATATTTCTAATCTGTTCTTTGTCATGCTACATACATACATTTTCGATGACAGCATTAAGAGTCCGACTGATCACTCGACTCTCCTATTTCTCCCAATACAAAGTCTTCATCACTAGAACAAGTGGGTAATGCCTCATCCCCTTAATCTACCTCACATTCATCATGATCATCCACCTCTTCCACACTGAGGGAGCATTGTTTGTCTGTTTTTGTGCCAAATAAAGAACTTCCTTTTTTTCTGTGGGTGAACTTCTACATGATCACGGGCATATATTTGCATGACCCTCCCCCTTTTAACTGCCCATTTTTCATGACCCCTCCCTTTTCTGAGGCTCAAAAAGTTGTGACCCCCCCTCTGTTTCCACCCCCCCTCCCCCCCCTGCTAATTTCTGACAAGTCCCTAACTCGCTGGTCCGTGTCATGATGACACCTATAATTTTACAGCAATTAGAACGCTGCGTTCAAAGGAGTCCTCGCAAGGTCCTCGTTATCAAAGCCAGACCACTTGCAGACCTCTCGTCAGCTACTGTTGCTTACCCGCACGCAAAGAATCGCTCGTGCTGCAGCGCTAATAATTAAAGCTTCTTCCCAGGCTAAGGTCGTACAAATGACAACATGAAATCAAAGAATGTAGAAGTGACTAGACATTCCATTTGAAAGCACCTGTCATCTAGAGACGGTCGCTTTACCACCAGTTTGTTGATCGTTGCATTCATTGCAGCTTGTTACAGTCTTTCAAACTTTCCTCGGAGGCGTGAACCTTTTTATAAGTATAACGACTGGATTCGGAGTGTGAATATTTACAGATCACTATTCATTTTTCAGTCATTAACTTTTAAAAGTAGATAAATTCTAACACTCTCATACCTCGAGACAATGCCTCTTGAAAAAATGTTTCAAGGAAGCAAGGTTTAACTCTTCAAGGGCAGCATAGACTGTGTGATAATCAGGATCATCTGAGAAAATTCAAATTGACACATCTAATTACAAATTCCTTTAATACGCAATATATTACTTCTTCTCTTCCTCTTCTTTTCTTACCCACTTTCTCTGAACTACGAAATGGCTGGATTTAAAGTGTAATATTTCTTTCGGGCCTTTTCGAATTTCGTTGATTGAGCTATGCAAGCTAAATAACAGGTTTTCAATTTAATAGCTTATAACATTTAAAACATATGCTGCCTTTTAAGTGTGGATGAATTAGGTTTGGTGCCAACTTAAATTTTTAGTGGTTAAGGGTTAATTATAAGCATGGGACCTCGACTTTTTCTTTTGTTTCATCAAAACTTAAGGTAATGATGCATATCCAAAAAAACCTTTCTGTAGGGTACCTTAAAAAAACCTATACTCCTTTAGTAATATGTCTGCATTTGACATCTAACGTCCTTTCTAACAACTATCCTCTTGTACCTTCATTTTAGAAGTATATTTTGTCAGTTTGGTTTTAAGGGAGATACGCATTCATCTTTGGTCAAGTAGATTTTTTTGTTGTTGTTGCATGGGAGCCTTTGCAACTCAAGCCTGTGAAAACATTTCAATTCGGAAATATTCTTGTGACTTTTCCTATATGGTACCTTAGAAAGATTCATCACAGATTTAATACCATATCAAAAATATGATTAAAAGTTGCATCTATGCAATTAAAATGTGTCGGAATCTGGTTTTAAATGTATTTTTGGTTAAAGAAAGGTTTTCGCTTTGCAGACCGAAAATAACTTCAAACGCATAGTAACAACCGGCTAGAAAAAATTTAGCACTCTATACTTGCCGTGTATGACTCAATAAAAGCATGATAGCCACTTAGCTTACCTGAATCTGGATCCACCGGCTCCTGCAAATTAATCAAACCTCTAAATTATCGCGAACATGAATTTCCATCATGAATTCACTCTCTTCTCACATGACTTCAAGTTACATTCAGGTGCTTATCTTTGCTTAAGAGTGTGTCCACGAGAGCACCGGGCAGTCGTGCTACATGCCATCTCACCGATTTCAATGAAACTTTGCCAGTTTAAAGGGTCTACCCCAAGACTCAAAAAGACAAACTGGTTTCTGTTTCGTGTTTTCCGAGGGGAGATAGACCACCCCCCCCGCTTTTTCTTGGTATTCACCGAGGAAATCGCTTCAAAATAGGTAAAATGTATGAAGCTCTCACTGCGATGGTATTTAACCAATTACTCTGAGGGTTTGCACACATATTTTTACATCCTTAGTTAATGTCCGCCGCAAGTATCAGTCAATTTGATTGACGGCTTGTCAATCAACAGAGGCAAATATGCGACTGTGTTTTTAGACTTTTCGATTCATCCAAATATTTGACAACTTTGAGGTCAAATATCTCCCGTTGCCAGAAAGCTACCGTAAACACTAATCTTAATTACCCTTCATAACCCATTATTTTATCTCTAAAAGTCATCAAAAAAATCTTTGGGCACTACCGTATTTTTGTCTTGGCGGGATGCCTTTTAAAATCTGCGACTGTGACAAGTTTCTCTCAACTACACCTGTCACGCAATTCTCGCTCTAGACGGTCACTTGACTAAATAAACCTACATTTCCTGGCTCTTTATACAAGATGATTGATCAAGAAAGGTGAAAAATGTGAAAAACTTTCGAGAATTTTGTAGGAATCGAAAATTTCACGTTTAGAGAGATGTATGTAAGCGAAAAAAGGAAGAGAAAATTGTAACGTTTCTTTCTTCAATCGTTTATTACTCTGGAAATTTGCTAAAATCAGCAGATATGGCTTTTGTACGGCACAAAACATTCATTACTCTATAATTTGATCGTTTATTATCATCACTGCTCATTTTAGGAGATTTTAAAGTCACATGCTGCGTGTTGTTTGATATTACTACAAGTTCCAGTGTGCTACAACTCCGGCTTTTACAGACAAGAAATTCTGCGCTGTCGCTTTAGAGCAAATATCAATAGTTCTATCAGACTAAAAACTGTGCATCTATCCCGAAAATAAAATTAAAATAGTGTTGTCGTTGTAACTTACCGCCATCGAACATTTCCATGTAGAACTCCGCTAAGCTAACATCTGTTGCGTGACCCGAAGACTCTCTGTTGGAATTATTCAAGCGCGTTGTTCATGCTGTCTGCTAGATAACAATTTCAGAATAATCTGCAGATCTCTATGATTACTTGCCTTCTTCGATCGCAAAATATCTGCATATTTTTTCAAGCATCCTATTACTACATATAAATCTACATCTCTTTAGATCGAGTGTTGCCGGTGTTTAATTGCGTGACTTGTAAAATTTTATCAAGAATGAGCCAGCAGTAATTTGACCAGCAGGCATCTTGCAAATTTCCCTTGATGAAATCCCACGACATGGTCAGTTGTTTTCGTGAGCAAAGACAATAAATATGAAAGAAAAGTGAGATGCAAATGTCCTTTTTCATTTTTTTTTTTTTTTTTTTTTTTTTAGCTTAATAGCAACTGTACCATCTCCTGCAGTCTTCGTAGGTACTTGCCTTACTAGTTTCCTCCCCTGTCCAGCACACGTCTAAGAGATCATTCTTTGCTTTCTGAGAAAAAGGAGCTGTTTTTTGTGTTTTCCAAAGAGCCTGAATCTCACACCAAGTTGTGCACGATATTTGAGATATATCGTGAAATCGCGGCCTTCGTAATCTCCATATAAGCCAATAAACGCTTGAATAAGCTTCTTCTCGGACGAAACGCATGTTTGGGATACATCGACGTCTCTCAAATGTTTTTTTTAAGCTGTATACCCACGAATTTAGAGGTATGAGCTGTTGCCGTCCCTGGCCAGCGCGAGAAAAATAACATTTGGTTCTACAGTTAGTTGCAAATGAACAAGACAACTGCACCATCTTGACTCTATCAATTCGAGTGTTAGGTTGAATTGAGGGCTTTTTAGACACTCGATTTCTTATATGGCATCACTATGAAGACGTAATACAACTGATACACCTACACTACATAAGATTGACAATGTCTGTTGCGCTGTTGCGGGAAGGAGGAAAATATTACCGGAAGTGTAATCTCTTTAAGAGTTTCAGAGACGTTTCAGAGATGCCTATCTTCGGCTGTCACAAAAAAATTGACACCCACCTAAATTTACTAAGAAAAATGAACATATCAACTCCTTGTTAAAAAAATTGGAATTCATTTGACCGATATGCCGGTTGTTTCAATTTTGCTTTTTCCTCTTGCTGCTATAAAACAGTTCATAATTTGACCAATGAATAAAATGTTTTGAAATACCGTTCGGAATTTGCCTTTTTTTCTGCGTGCAAATCAAGGGTCGACAAAGTTTTTAAAACATTTGACAAGAATTTCATGGGGTTCACAATTTTCGTCGGCCGGAGTCAAGACGCGTCAAGCTAAGCGACATCGCCCTTCAGTAAAATAATTTTCCAAAGAATAAATGCGGCGAGTGTAAGGAAAAGCACTTTTTTTTCATTACTGTGACCAAAGCCCGATGATGTACCTAAATTGGTACTTACTGTGACTTATTATGACAAGGTGAGCTTAATTTTTCTGTCGAGGTCGACGTGATTTCACATTAAAAGCGTTTTTGACGGGTGTCCCAGCGGATTTTGACCCCCCTAGATTTGGACCCTTTTTAACCCTAACCCCTAGGAGATCATTCTTTGCTTTCTGAGAAAAAGCGGCTGTTTTTTGTGTTTTCCAAACCCCCCTAGATTTGGACCCTTTTTTACCCTAACCCCCCAGTCCAAATCTGCGAGCGGATATGGACCCACTCCGCGGATTTGGACCCCCCAACAAAACTGAGTGAAAACATCATCCTTAACGTTCCAGTGCGCTCTAAATTATCTTTAATGCATACGAACTGGCATCCTGTAGGATGTTTCTTTTGACCAAGGGAAAATGGGCAAGAATTTAGTTTAATGTCTGAAGAGGAGTCGTATTGAACCCCTCAACAACACGCAATGTCTCTAGTTTACAGACTGTCTTAGAACGTTTCATTATATGGATTTGCCATCTGCGGGTAGAGGGCTACAAGCGAATTTCGCAGGCGTAATTGCCTTTGATTTCTCAACTGATGTTGTCGCAAACACAGTTTTTGGGAGTCACGAACAAAAAAACTTATCAGAACCTAGTGTCATGTTCTAATGGAAATAAATAGCAAATAAAAGCACATTCTCTTGAGAAATAAAGTTATAAATAACGGGGTTCTCTGAAACAAATAGTGATAGAAAAGGATTTCAGTTCTGGTCAATATTGACTTTTCATAGCCTACTTCCAAATCTGAGGGAACGCGCTGAGGGAATAAAAAAACATAAATGTGTAATAATGCAAGGAAGAGAATAAAAATACAAATAAAGAAAAAGGAGAAAACATAGGAACCCGTGTTGCAGCATGCAGATATCTTTTGAGCCAGACCTACACACCTAAGCCTGACACCACCCAAAGAAACCCGAAAGAGTGCTGTTTATGAACTGGCTCGCACGTGCACGTAGGAAAGGCCATGACATAAAATATATGGACATGACAGGCGAAAATAATAGCAAATGCAGATGATATTTGCAGTCCAAAGACAGGAAAATAAGATAACAGAAGGATTAAGAACTTTCTAGAAGTGTCTTGAAAAAAAAAAAAAAGATAAACAACTTTTACTTCTCATGAAAGGTCACGCGGTCACGCTACAAATACTATTTCTATACGTGGAATTTCTTGATGGTGGAAAGTGGAAAAAACATTTTCCAGTCTTATTTTCTGGAAACATGGCGTAGTTAATGAATTTATGGGGCTATTGATATTTCCTATCAAATAAGGGGGGCAGAGTTTCCCATCATCCACGGTATGGAAAAGCCGAAGTTGTTAAGCTTTGTTACACTCGGGAACTTGTACGTCAACAAGCAGGCGACATGTGACTTTAAAATCTCCTCTCCTGTTACAGTTTCCTTATTGTAAACTGTGTGATAATGATAATAGACGATCAAATTAT